ATTAATAAACCCCAGAACCTAGGAATTAGATTTGCCTTATTCCATTCTCCAGAAGGGAAGATCTTTAAGAATGTTTCAGGATTTTATCTAACAATTTCACTTGGTTTAATGAAGCCTGATCCAGAAATATGGTTAACTGTTCCATTTAGAAAGAAAGCTGTGACTTTCAGATACAGCTGCGAGCTCCGAACAGCAGCACCTGACAAAGCCATGACCCTGTGGGAAACCAAGTGTAATTTCTTTCCTACCCGGGAATGTGACCTGCAGGAATTCTTCTTAATGCTGTATGGACAGTCTTACCCTGTGTATGACACAAGCTGACTTAACTGTGAAAGGCCATGCTGAGAGAACACTTGTTTAGTCTGTTGCAATTTTTTTCTAGTCTGTTGCAATTTTTAATCAGATATTATCCCTCCAAATATGATAAAAATTTTAACTGTCTTTAGAAGAAGCGTACACTCCTTAGTACACATGATTCAAACCTGTCCATTTGCATTGAAACTATTTTAGAAAGCAGTGGAAACATGTTCTCTTTTTCCATCTGAGGCAGAAAGTTAGAGATGTCAGCTTGAAATAGGTAACATGAAAAATCATTAATGTGTCCCTATATCCTATATAATGTGACATCAATTGGTTATTCTGTCATCCTTACTGAAAAAATGAAACAGCATTCTATTCATTTCTTTGTACCAGCTCCTAAATAATGTCCTCTTCAAATATATAGTTGTTTGTTTGAACAGGATGCGTTTGGGAAGCTGCCTCTAGGAGACAGAAAAGCTGGCAAGCTGGCAGGTTCTCTGTGGATAGGTTGGTAGGAGCGGTAAGGAGAGAAAAGTTAAGCCTTTGCTTCATTCCAATCAATGGCATAGAGTGGATGGGGAAACTGAGGGCAAGTTGCTTTGCCTTTTCATTGAAAGTTTATCCCCTTCCTTTTCTACTTCCCTCTGTGTAAGAGTGCCATGTGGCCAGGTGTGGTGGCTCATGCCTGTAATTCCAGCACTTTGGGAGGCTGAGGTGGGTGGATCACCTGAAGTCAGGAGTTCGAGACCAGCGTGGCCAACGTGGCGAAACCCCGTTTCTACTGAAAATACAAAAATTAGCTGGGCATGGTGGCAGGTGCCTGTAATATCACCTACTTGAGAGGCTGAGGCAGGAGAATTGCTTGAACCTGGGAGGAGGAGGTTGCAACAAGCCGAGATCATACCATTGCAGTCCTGCCTGGGTGACAGAGCAAGACTCCGTTTCAAAAAAGGTCAGATGTGGTGGCTCACGCCTGTAATCCCAGCACTTTGGGAGGCTGAGGCGGGCAGATCACCTGAGGTCAGGAGTTTGAGACCAGCCTGGCCAACATGATGAAACCCTGTCTCTACTAAAAATGAAAAAAAAAAAAAAAAAAAAAAGGAGTGGCACGTGCCTGTAATCCCAGCTACTTGGGAGACTGAGGCAGGAGAATCACTTGAACCTGGGAGGTGGAGGTTGCAGTGAGCTGAGATCATGCCATTGCACTCGATCATGCCATTGCACTCTAGCCTGGGTGAAGAAGCGAAACCCCATCTAAAAAAAAAAAAAAAAAAAAAGAGTGGCATGCTTGCTTGTGGAAGGGGATGCTGAAGCTCTGTGTCTGCAGGCGTGTGGAGGGGAGTACACATGGCACAACGTGCTGCAGTGTGAGCCTAACTAGTCTCCTTCCTGAGCTTGAAAGGATGATTGTTCACGTTCTGACTTGCCACGAGCATTGTCTGCACAGCTGCAGTCACGGTGACATTAAATACAGGTCAAGTGGAAGACACTCCTCGAGAAGGCAGAGGCAGCACTTAATTTAAGTTGAGCATTGGCTGCTCAGAAGTTACCCTGGTTCTTCTCTCATTGGGGGAGTTTGTCTTTTGCCCCACATTAAGGAATAGGGGCAAATTTCAAGTAGAAGGATGTGAAAATAGAAATAAAAAAGGGTTTTTTTGTGTCTGTTAATGTAAGGCTACCAGCTGTTATAACAGATACTGATCCCCGTGGCCTAATTAAAGTTTCTTTCTTATTAATATAGTGGTCCGCTGTGCGTGTTGCTCAGCAGGTGGTGCTCTTCCAGGTGGTGATTCAGGGACCCAGGCTCTCCCAAGTTGTGCTGTAGGTTGTCTCCATTCCAGTGCGTGTGTGTGCACATGTGTGCACACTACTGCTCACATTCTATTGGCTGAAGCTCAAACAGCCACACCCTAAGTGCAGGGAAAGCTGAGAAATACGTTCTGGATGTGACTTCTCTGGAAGGGAAGGAAAGGGATTTGTTGATGGTAGTTTACGTCAGTGATTTTTCACACTTCACCTGTAACAGATTACCTGGAAGCTTGTTAAAACCCAGAGTTTCTGATTCAGCAGGGCTCGGGTGGGGCTCAAGGTTTTCCATTGCCAACAAGACCCCAGGCAATGTTGTTACTGCCGGCTTGGTGATCACACTTTGAATAGCCCTGGTTCTGACGTTTTTGCGTCTTCATTTAATTCATGCTGTTCATGAGAACCAGAAATACCTTTATTAGAATGGCTTGAGAGATAAGAGGGAAGAAGAGTAAAATAGATACTAGTCTTGGCCAGCCCATCTGAAATATTAAAAATAATTCAAAGTGGACGATTTTTTAGAGGACTTGGAGCTTTGGAGGACTGCCACCTGGGCAGTCACGTGCTAATGAGATGGCTGCGCCTTGCTCCCTGGCAGGGGCCATAAGTAGGGACTTCTATTGCCAGGCAAAGGAGCTTTCAGCTTCATTATCTCTGTTGGAGCAGGGAGATGTGGAGAATGAAGTATGTAAGTTAGGTCCTGGAGAAGTGATATGGAAAAGTTACAAGGAAGGACTTGAGTGAAAATCAAGGAGCTTGAGCTTGCTGGAGTAGACCCAAGTCTGAACTTTGGACACAGAAGAGTTGAAGTTGGATTTTAAAATTCTTCAAGTCTCAGGATACCTGTAACATGGGGATAACATCTGTTCTGTTAGGTTATTGTGAGAATAAATTACGTTAGAAGTTCGTAAACTTTCTTGATTGTTGGTGCTCCTAGGTTAAAATAAGTATCTAACAGATTCATTTTTAAAGTGGTTAGTTCCAAACATCCTCATACATATTTATGTCTGAACAACTCAGTAGCTATTTGAAAAAATAATAAATATCAATTGAAAGAAAAATATTTTAGTTTCTTAAATAACCACAGTTACTTATTAATGGGATGTATGTAGCTGTGGGTACTGCACAGCTTTTCAAACCTTGAAATCATACTGGACATTGCTGTTCTCTTTTCCTGTTCTACGTTGATGTTTTTTTAATTGCAGCACCTGCTGAAACTCTTTGCAAAAATATGATGGCATCGAAAGGAATGTAGTGCAGTGTAATATTAAAACTGTGGAAAGTCCCTGAGTTGGTAGTACAGACTGTAGGTATGTTGACTCTTGCCATGTATCCCTCAAAAATGTAAAATATATTGCATTGCCTGTATCAGTTCACTGTATGACCCAGGTGCTTTGTTGCACGGATGGGGAAGCGTGGGATTTAGTAGGTTTTTTTTCTTTATTCATTCCTTTCACAAGCGTTAACAGAGTAGCAGTGAAGTATCAGGCACACTGCTGGGTGTTGTGTAGAGCAAGACACCTTCCACCTCCAGTCTAGTGGGGAAACCAGTCATTGAATCAGATAATCACACAAATGTAGACTTCAAATGGGGCCAGTGCCATGAGGGAGCATTTCAAAGTGCTACAGGAAAGAATATTTGACCTGGTCAGGAGAACTTAAGGGGTTCTCCTTAAGTTTGAGAAGGGGTAGGAACCATATTCCAGGCAGGGGGAGTAGCATTCTGGGCAAGTGTTTTTCAACCTGTCTGTGGTGAAGGACCTGCTTTCCCCCATCTGCCAGTTGCACTGTTATTGATTCATGACTAGTACGTAGCTTGTGTGGACCATGTGTGTTTGACAACTTCTGAACTGTTGAGACTTGTCCAACTGATCTATGCATTTGGATATTGAAACAGAGCCAAATGCAGGAAATGTTTCAAAAGGCTGTGGTGGACTGGTAACAGTTTGTAGACCATTAGAATTTGCAGACCACACTTTGAGTAACTGCACCAGTGGGAATAGCATGTGCAAAGGTCCTGTGGTAGGAAGCAACTTGGTGACTATGAAGGAAGAAAGAAAAGACTAATATCAGTGGAAGATGAAGTGAGAATGTAGAAGTCAGCAGGGGTGGGCCTCAAGGCCACAGTAAGAATCTGAGGCTCAGGTGAAGACATTTCCATCCTGGTGGAGAAGGGGAAATTGTCTTGACTACTTCCTAGGTAATAGCCTGAGAAAATTAACAGGCCAGATATTTGGTTACAAAGATTCATTGTGTGATTTAAGCAAATTGCAGTTCTTCTTTAACCATGGATGTAGAGTTCAGTGGCATTTCAACGTCTCAGAGCAGGGGGAATCCTTGCCTTCGTGTGAATGGGCCTGCTGGAGCGTGTCCAGGTGGTTGCAGAAGCACCTGCAGTTCCATGACAGATGCTGCCATGTGCTCAGGCTCCTTATGGTACCCATGCCACTGGCAGGAAGTTGGAGACCAAGCTTGCTGCTGCTATCTGGGTGTGAAACTACCTCTCCTGGAGGCCTTGTGAATTTCAACTGTTCCTGTGAATTCATATGGAGCATGTTGCAAGAGGCTGTGTTGCAGTGCTTCTGCCGGTCTCTGCCATTCTGAGGTTTAATGTGGTATCCATGAATACTGGGTGAAGTGTGGGCATGGCACCAAATCCTGAGTTGTCCTGGCCCTTGCCCATAAGTGCCCCATTATGAACTCCACTCTGATTTAAGAATTCAGTGCTCTCTCCCTACTCAGGCTAACTTTGGGCATCTGGGAGGGACTTTTGCTTTCCAGCTTCATGGATGTGGAGTCTTGATGTTGACTTCTGGATCACTTTGCTTTTCTCTGCTTTGCTGTGCAGAATAGGGTAGGAGAGAAAAATGATGTACTGTGGTTTCTTTGTGCAGGTACTTCGTACTGGATTTCGAGGCTGGCATCCTGCAGTATTTTGTGAATGAGCAAAGCAAACACCAGAAGCCTCGAGGAGTCCTGTCTTTGTCTGGAGCCATAGTGTCCCTGAGCGATGAAGCGCCTCACATGCTGGTCGTGTACTCTGCTAATGGAGAGATGTTTAAACTGCGAGGTGCGTTCTTCTCCTGGTAACTTTTCAGACAGGCCTCGCGGGCTACGTTTATAGTTGCCATGGTGATGGCTCTCTTGTTTTTTGATTTTTTGTTTTTGTAAATTGCCTTTGACAGTTTGCTGTGTTTGGAGGACTCTGTGGTGACACACACTGCCCCTCTTATCCTTGGGGTGGGGAGATGGAGCTGATGTTAGGAATTACTTGTCCTAATTAACTGAGGAATTAAGGACGAAGGAAAGGTTGAGTGATTGCCAAAGCAGCACGCCTTAGGACTTCGAAGATCTTAAGCGTTAGCTCAGTATATTTTCTTTGACCTAATAGTATGAATCTTCACTACAGTGCCCTGGGAGGGCTGTGCTCTAAAGGCAAAATAAGCCCTTTAAGGGTGCGAGTGTCTTCCTCCCAAAGTTTCTCTAGAACTGTTTCTTGTTAAAGTGCCCCTTTGAGTTTTGTTCAATCCACTGTTGTAGAGCCTGGTGAGAATGGAGTTAATGTCCCTTTGTATGTTTTCTTCCCTTTTCTTTGCTTCTTGAAAATGGACATCTTTGCTTTAGTAAAGGAAAAAAAACATGGATACCTGCCCCGCATCCCGGAGGTGAGGTTGACTTTCCAGGGAGCCCAGCATTTACCCTCAAGACACATCCATTGCACAGAGATGTCAGACTTGTAATAGAATTACAGTGTAATTTGATTGCTAGATCATTCTACCGGGATCTGTTATGGTTGCATTGCTGTGATTCTTCTGCCACTTTTCTTCTAATAAAATAATGAAACAGCAAATCCAAATGCCCACATGTGCGTGCCCGCACACACACACACGGACACGCAGAGTCTATATTATTTATCAAGGCCTGAGGAAAAGTAGTATGTATTAAGCATTGAGAGGTGATTGAAAATTCTGCCTTTTTTGTGCAACATTTTCTTTTGACTAAGTAAGAGCGAAGTACGAAGAAATGGCCGCTTGCTATCTGTTCGTGACCGTGATGAGTTGCCTCTGCAAAGTCCATCTTTGGGTCTACATTCCTCACCTCTCAGCCCAATTTTCACCATTCTTCTGCCAAGCTTTACTACCCAAGAGATGGAATAAGCTAATGTTTATTATCTATATACAAGTCATATTTCAGAATCTATAAAACAATCCAAAAACCTAGGAAGTAAAAATGTCTATAGTTGGTACAATTTTTTCAGGAATGTGATAAGATTCATGTTTTCTTGAGATTCATGCAGTGTGCATTCCAGCTGGCTAGATTTATATGGCCCTTGGCTTTGCTTTGCCATTTATTGCTTAATAAATTGTCAGTGCAGAAACAATAGCAGACCAAAAACCTAATGGCACTTTCCACCCTGCCTGTGGTTTATAAAATGACACAAACCCATACAAAAGAAAAATCCAACTAATTTGGCAATTGAGCCATCTTGTTTTGCCATTGAATCATTAATATCCTTTGGATTATTAAGCCCTAGGTTTTTTTTAGAGGGCAATTTTAATAGCAAATATAGAGGTTTTATGATCTGCATGGAATAATCGCAATGGCTAAATTTAGCTAAAGCTTAACTATAAAAAAAAGTCAGGATAAATTTCTGCATGTTTATGGCTTGTTCTTAGCCCATCCCACAAGGAACTGGCTGTTGGTGTCTCATTTCACATCTTACCTGCACATAGTAGGAGTTGGATCATGATATCATGAGACGCACAGCTTTTGGGAGTATTTCTGATGCAAAGCCTTTGGATAGTACTGCCCCAAACTGGCAATGCTTCAAGTTTACTAAGGAAAAAGGCCCTAATTTCTGCAGAGTCCTTTGTCTTTGGAAGTTCATTTCAAACTTAGAGTGTACCTGGCACACTCTGTAAATCAGACTTGTGCAACAGGCCTCTTGACAGATGAATCATTTGGGGTTTGTGGGAGACGTCTTCATGCCTTAAATGGGACTAAGCCAAAGAATTTCCCATTTAGTAACTCTAGATTTCTTCACCTGAAAGTTCAAGCCGAAGTCAGGTTTGATGGACAAATGACACTTAGGCTCAGTTTTGTAAACAGTTATAATTTGCAGGGAATCGTTTTTTTTTTTTTCATAGTCAACATGTATGCAGCTAGTGTTATAATATTTATGAAGTTATTTATGTGGTTAAATTGATTTAGATTTCATTAGAACCTGTTGTGTGCCCATGATATTTAAGAATAACTTTATATATATTATTTGAGAGGTAGGTTATAGACGGAAGGATATGACTGTACAACATGACTACTTGCACTTTAACGTCTCTTTGGGGGAAGTTTGAGACTCTGTAATGCAGCATTTGGTATCTTGTTCTTTCCAATCGTATGAATCTTTGAGAACATACTAAAATGGTAACTCAACTGAATGCTTATTTTGTACATGCTAGTGACACCACAATACAGCCCTGGTAGACAGCAAAAGGCCCTGAAAAAGTGCCCTTTGAGGCCAGGGTCAGTGGCTCACACCTGTAATCCCAGCACTTTGGGAGGCCGAGGTGGGTGGATCACGAGGTCAGGAGATCGAGACCATCCTGGCTAACACAGTGAAACCCCGTCTCTACTAAAAAATACAAAAAAATTAGCCGGGCGTGGTGGTGGGCGCCTGTAGTCCCAGCTACTCGGGAGGCTGAGGCGGGAGAACGGTGTGAACCTGGGAGGCGGAGCTTGCAGTGAGCGGAGATGGCACCACTGTACTCCAGCCTGGGTGACAGAGTCAGACTCCGTCTTCAAAAAAAAAAAAAAAAAAAAAAAGATGCCGTTTGATACTCATATTAGCTACACAAGGTTAGAGGCATTTGAAAATAAGCATGTGGTTCCTTCCCTGCTGCCTTTTTAAAGAAGTATTATAGAAACGATTTTTTTCAGAGGAGGTTAAAAAATGGCAAAATTATTCTTATAACGGGTATTTCAGAATCCATTTTTCATATGACTCAAGAGAGGATGTTCCGTGGAGAGTCAGTGCAGTCTCTGTTTTGGTGTAAGTGCAGGCCGCTTGAGAACGCTGGGATCTGTGCTCGCTTCCCCACCTTCTCACTACCTCTCACTCCCCAGGCTCCCCACCCCCTTAGGTGGGTGCAGAAATAAGTTGGATGTGTTTTGGAACAACCTCTGCAATCATTTCTTTCTCTGTTTTCTCTATTTTAGCTGCTGATGCAAAAGAGAAACAATTCTGGGTGACTCAGCTTCGAGCTTGTGCCAAATACCACATGGAAATGAATTCTAAGGTAAGTCACCGTGAGAAAGGAAGGAGGCATTCGAATAACCAGCATGGCTTTCAGCCCCCTTATTTGTTTCTATGGGGAAGGTGTTTTTCATGTTGTTTTTAAAGTTGCCCACTGCAGTGGAATTCCTACTTGTCCTGCTGCACATCAATTTAAAGCCGGGAGAAATGCAGTAGGATTTTCTTGTAGGTAGAATACAAAGGCATGCAGACACTATGGGAACCAAATCTGAAGAGACACTTTTGCATTCTGTTGTCACTTTAGGCAGCTGTTAATTGGTCTATTGTGAAGCTCTAGGGGATGATTTCATTGTGGAGGCAGAGTTGTCAGATTCATCGTTGGTGAGGACTAGTAGCCATCACCGATCCTTAAATAAAACCTAGTTCCCGAATTGCTTATGCACTTTGCAAGGAGCTTCTGCATTCCTAGTGTATAAAAATGTTCTCGGGTAATTTGGCATCCAGGTATAATTTATTCTCTCCTGCGGACCTCGTGAGATCTTGTGTTAGGTGTACAGGAAGGAGGTAGGAGATGGGCATTTTCATGGATTATTGTGGAGAATTTACAGTTACTACAATACAAGAAATAATTTTAAAATGCATTTATTTAGGGCAATAAATATTTGTTAAAATTAATGTTCCAAGGGCTACTCCTTTATATCATTAGTTCAAATATAGTTGTTATAGTCAACAGCTATCTTTTTCCATATTCCATGCATCTGGTAGAAAGATCCACACTTCAAACTTCTGATGATTCCATCTACTAGAACCTGCCTGCTTTCTGGGTCAGGGCCTTGTGAAATGTCTTTCTTAGATACACCTGGCTGTTCTGCCTCCAACTACAAACTCAAATAATTTCTTCATCATTTTTTTTTTTTAAAGAGACATCCCCTTTTCCTTAACTTGCTTAGGACAGTGGCACCTACCTGTAATGCCTCACTTAACTTGCCCTAAGCCGAATCTTTAGGAACTGTAGGTACAGCCCTAATTCTAAAGCATTTTCCTCCAACTGGCCTTCTTTATTTTCCAGGAATTATAGTAGGAGTTCTCAACATTTAATTGGTACTTTATATACATGTAGGAAGTGCAATTTGTTTTTGTCTTTTTATATGTGTCTTTACTTTTTATAAACCAGAACGGAAGAGGGTAAAACTAAAAGGACTTATCCCCACCTATTGTCCTATGTGCTCATTAGAGATAATTGCTCTTAACTGTTCTTGAATATCTTTCTAGTAAATTTAGGCATGTGTTAGTATGTCTTGGTATGTGTGTGTGTATATAACTGTATCTACATAAATACATGTTTTTATACAAATGGGATCACATGCATACTGTTTTCTCCTTTTTTTTTTCTTAACATATTTTGGAGATCTTTTTATATTAGGCACATGGATTTACTTGCACTCCTTTTTGGATGGCCAGATGGTGTTCTTAGGAATGGATGTCGGTGCTTTATTTAAGTCTTCTACTAATGGAAATTTAGAGTTGTTTCCTTATTGTTGTTGTCACGTGCAATGCTGTAGTGTGTGACGTCTTTGTGCATATATATTCTTATGCCTCTAGGTGTATATCTGTAGGATGAATTTATACCAGTGGAATTGCTGGATCATAGAATATGTCTTTGAAATTTTCATAGACGTTGATAAATTGTCTTCTACAACAGTTGCCCTTATTTGTATTCCCACCACTTCTGTAAGGGTTTGTTTCCCCCTCTCATTAATGGGTGTTATTAACATTCAGGTTTTTCTATTCTCACAGATCAAAATTGGATACCTCATTTTTATTTTCATGTCTAAAATCATGACTGGGGCCAAGTATGTCTTCAATTGCTTATTGGCCATTCTTAAAATTAATGCAAACTGCCAATTTGTATCCTTTACTTGTTTTTCTATTGAGCTTATTTTTTCCTCTTCATTTGTAGTAGCTCTTTGTGTACAAAGGACTTTTTTTGGCCTGTCATTTGTACTGTTGATATTATCTCCTAGTATACAATTTGTATTTTGAGTTTGAATAAAATTTTTGCTTTGTAGAATATTTAAGTTTTTGCAGTCAAGTTTATGAGTATTTTTATTTTTGGCTTTTGGTTTTGTATGATATTTAGAAAGGGTATCTCTGGTCCAAAATTATGAAAATATTCTTCACTGTTTTCAAGGAGTTTATAGGTTAATTATTATATTTAAATCACTGATTCATCTGGAATTTATTTTGGGAGTGGGAATGGAGGTAGGGGAACCAACTTTAAGTACCTTAATATTTTGATGAATCATTGTAGAGAAGGAAAATTAAAGGCTTCCTAATGGTAGTTAAAAAAAAAAAAATTTGAAGATTCTTGGAAGCAGAGTTTGAACTCCTGATATATTCTCTGGTTAGCTTCAGGAATACTGACTAATCCATTAATATTAGAATCAAAACAAATAATTTAGAAGTTTAGGCCTGGAGAATTTCTTATTTGAGAAATGGAGATGAAAGTGCTATTACCACTCATTTATATCCTAGCTAGCATGATCAACTAGGGAATAATAATTTTAAAACTATGAACAGACCTTATTATGCAATGACAGCATTATCAAACTCAAAGCTGCTTAAGCAGAAGTTAAATAGTGAAAACGAAGATAGGCTCAAAGTGAATATAAACTTGATATCTAGTCAACTATAGTATTACTGCTTAATTTGCATCCTGGTTATTAGGAATATGTGCCAAGCCTCCTCTTCACCGTGTTTCTTCTTTATTCTCAGCAGATCAGATCCCTTTACAGTAGACTGTAGAGAATACTTTCCCTACAGCTGCTTGGCATTTTGCCTTTTAAAAACTCTTATGTAAAATCGTGTTCAGGGTGGGAAAAAAAAATGAAATTCGTGTTCCCTGGAACAAATATTAGGCAGGTAAAATGGTGCTGTAATTCAAACTCATTTTAGTAAGAACTACAGGGTAGCCAAATGCATAGAACTGTAGAGCTGAAAAAGGCTTTAAGGATGACCCAGCCAGTGGTTTCAAAACCCAGACCTGCCTTAGTCACTACCTGATGAAGTTTTTCCCCAGTCCAGAATGAAATGAGAAAAACAAGGAGGACATTATTCCCAAAGATAACTTTATTCAAAATAAATGACTATTCTTTTCAAAAATTATGTTGCTTTGCTTTTGGATGGTTAAAATATTCTTCCTTTTTATTGTAGAAGATGGTAGAATAGAATATTGATTGCATTTTTTAAAAATTGAGTTTTATTGGAGTATAATTTGCATGCAATAAAATTTACTCTTTTTAAGCGTAAAGTTCAATGAGTTTTGACAAATATATAGAGTCGTGGATCCACCACTGTACTCAAAATTCCGCCCTGCCAGCAGCAGGTTCCCTTATTACCCCCTTTATGATCAGTCTCCTCGCTGACTCCTCCGCAACTGGCAACTGCTGATTGGTTTCCTATCTATAGTTCTGCTTTTTCTAGAATGTTCTATAGGTAGAATTATATGACCTTTCACATCAGACTTCTTTTACTTACAAAAAGTTTTTGAGGCTGGGTGTGGTGGCTCACGCCTGTAATTCCAGCACTTTGGGAGGCTGAGGCAGGCAGATTTCTCGAGTCTGGGAGTTTGAGACCAGCCTGGGCAACATAGTGAAACCCTGTCTCCAAAAAATACCAAACAAATTAGCTGGGTATGGTGGCGCACACTTGTAGTCTCAGCTTCTCAGGAGACTGAGGTGGGAGGATTGCTTGAGCCCAGGAGACAGAGGTTGCATCGAACTGAGATTGTACTGCTGTACTCCGGGCTGGGTGACAGAGTAAGATCATGTCTCAAAAAAAAAAAAAAAGCTTTTGAATTTCATCCATGCTGTTGTGTGTATCAGTAGTTGATTCTGTCTTTACATTTTAGCTATTTAAGTGGAATTATGGTACTTTTTGTTCTTAATATTCTTACTTGTAAAAATCAAAAGTGTGAATAACCCCAAGTCAATTCCCAGACTTAAAGAAAAAAATGTATTGACCTTTGAAATCCAGAGGTCTGGCTATCTCGCCCAGCCTCCATTGGTTTATGCACAAGGAAGCCCCAACCAGGAGGCTGTGATGCTAAGGCTGGAACCTGGATCTCCTGCTTTCTTGTCCTTGCTCTGACATGTAGCCTCACAGATGTCACCTGGGGCCACCATGTGCTTCCCTCTGTGGGTGGTGGGGTCCCTTCTAGGACAGTTTGATTCTGCATGGACAGAAACTGAGAGACAGACAAAATCTTGCTTTTCTCCATATCACACAGGTTCATCCTGTGGCTTCCAGTGTTACTTGAGGTGGAGTCACCGGGGTATGGGATCGTTCTGCCAGGAAGACTAGAATACAGACTTCCTCTGAAAACACAACACAACAAAGCATCCAGCATTTAGTGTGTTATAAAAATTAAAGCCAGGAAGACTAGAATACAGACTTCCTCTGAAAACACAACACAACAAAGCATCCAGCATTTAGTGCGTTATAAAAATTAAAGCAGCATTGATAGGAAAAGTGGTAGGAGAGTTTCATAAAGACCATTCTTATGAGAATCTACTTGTGTATGACTTTGAAGTCTTAAATGCAAGAAATGCAAGAGTTAGATTCGTGTGCGTGTGCGTGTGTGTGTGTGTGTGTGTGTGTGTGTGTTTTGAGACAGGGTCTCATTCTGTTGCCCAAGCTGGCATGCAGTGGTGCAATCAGTGGTATAGCCTTGACCTCCCAGGCTCTCAATCCATCCTCCCACCTCAGCCTCCTGAGCAGCTGGGAGCACAGGTGCGCACTATCATCCCCAGCTAAATTTTTGTAGAAACTGGGTTTCGCCATGTAGCCCAGGCTGTTCTCCGACTCCTGGGCTCAAGCAATCCTCCTGCCCTGCCCTCCCAAAGTGCTGGGATTATAGGCATGAGCCACCGAGCCTGGCTTCTTGTGGTTTTTATCAAGTGGGTGGTGTTAGGAAACTTCTAGGATAGGAACAGCGGTGTTACAGGAATGCAGTAAGCACTGAGGGTGAATCAGGAACTGGCC